AACCACCATTTTCAGGGACACTCAAAAGACACCACACTCCTGGACCTTGCTCTTAACAGGCAAACGCTCAACCGATTGGCATCTCGTGGCTGTGAAGAGCGCCTGTTAAGACGTGGTCTCTATAATTCGGCATTTCTACATTTCTACAGACTCGCTACACTCAATGGCATCGGTAGACTTTGCCACGTCTGAGTTGATCCACGTGCAGCAATGCTGTGAGCACATGTCACACCTCAACGCAGCAGCACCTTGCAAGATGCAGTGCAGCCTCGTGCGTGGTTCAGGGCGGCAGATCAAACGTCCAAGAAATGCCATCTCACCTGCACCATCCCACCCACAGCAATCTGAGGTGAGCATCCTATTTCCCCAGATTTGAAGAAGATTGCATACTCAAGGGGCTGGCAGTCGTCGCCATCGGCTGCCATCTGGATGTGCGCAGAGGCTGGTCGGGGTGCGACGGTGCGCACGAAGACCAAAAGAGCGGTGACTGCCACGCGCGCCGTGCTAAGACCAGCCAGCACCAAGTTAGCTGCATGGAGCCTAGTCATGATGATGCACTGCCATTCGACAGGCGCTTCCATGCGGGCGTGCAGCAGCAGCGGCATCCTGCTCGTTCGGACCTGAGGCAGCGCGCGCCTACAGCAGCACACCCCGGGCGAGCCGATGTCCGCAGCTGGCCGACCGGGCGCTGTTTCGCACAGCGACTGGCGGCACTGCCGACGAGACGCTGGCGCACGTCGCGATGGGGAGGGCATAGCGTGTTGGGCACGGAGCAGGCCTGGCGGTGGAGGGGTCTCACGCAGCGCCGTCCACACCGCGCGCGCCCATTCTTCGCTCGACAGTTGTTGGGCTGCGCCGACATGCAGACAGTCCTTGTTGCGATGAACGCACTGCTGGGCCTAAAGTTATCGCAAGGCAGAGATCGCCGTCGTCGAGGCCCGCGAGTTGGACGGTGACCTGCAGCAGTGTGGAGCTTCGCGAGTTGCGCAGCGCATCACATTGGACGGCGACAGTGGCGATGCGTGGAACTAGGCGTGCGCTAGACTGGGAACAGTATAGCATGGGTGGTGGGCGCGCATGGGCTGTTGGCCTTCACACCACTTGATGAAACCAGCCTTCCCACTCGACTCTTCCCGACCCAGCCCTTGACTACCACTCTGCCACTGCCACCACGACCCGACTCCATCTGCCTCTCTGCACCGCGCACTGTACCCATATCACCTTTCGCACGCTTTCGATACCCCAAACGCAGCTTCATTCTTCGCTCCAGCGATCGCATTCCGGAAACGGCGGATTCGACTTTTGCCACCGGGCCCTCGACACACCAAACGCACGCTCGGACTCTGTTTTGCCCGTCCCTATTGCAGCCAACTCAATCTCCGGCTCAGCTCCTACAACAACAACAACACCACTCCGCACCTCCATTCATCCTCAGCATCACTCGACAACATGGCTAGCTATCACTACGGGATGCCGACCTATCACCAGACCACCGCCACCCACACACAGAACCACCACGGCCACCACGGTCGCAGTCGTCGGGGGCCGAGAGTGTCATCGCAGAATGCGCACCGACAATACAAGGCACAGCGCAGTCCCAAGGAGGAGGTACCGCAAGTCCAGACATACAGCGAGTACTTGCGTGTGCTAGAGGCCGCGCGCGGCTTCGAATTCGACGATGACGAGGTCTTCTGCCCGTTCAACCTCCTGACCGAGGATGATGTAAGTCTTCGGGCTCCATGTCATCTCCGAGCTCCAGCTAACACCCCTTTGCAGCTGCAATCAATTCACTCTTCATCGGCGTCGGACAGAGGCTCGCTCTCCTCGGGCTCTCCTTCCGGCTCACCGCTGCAGACGCAGGTGCAGCCCACACCCTCGCTGCTGCTGCCTACCCTCCCACAATCATACACCCCAGTGAACTACCACCAGGCGCAATCTAAGCTTCACCAACCCATGGCGCAGCGCACCCGCAATGCAATCCCCATTGTGGACCCATCCACGCGCTCTGCGTCGAGTGTCTCGCCAGGCCGACAAGTGCAGCAGCAGTACCAGCGCCGCTGGTAAGCGGTCTGCTGTACTGCCACTGTAATGCTTCTCCAAGCGTTCTGCGTTGTCGGGCTGGCGAGCCTTTCCGCTCCAACACACGGTGTGCGACCGTGTGCTGGCACAATACTTTCTCCAATTCCTCGACTCCAGCGATACCTTGTACAAACTACTACGGCTACTTAGACTGAAAGCGGAAGCCCGGCTCTTCCCTTTTGCTCCCCATCTTGGACAACGGCGTTACAGCAGCAAGCATTACGAAGTACGACTCTCGCATCAACGGCAACGGCATCTTCTTCTTCAATTGGACCATATAAAACAATACTTTTTTGACATTTGGCGCGCGAAAGCAAAGCGAAACGATGAATACACGGATCTGGATATCACGCGGACGGCTGGCTATTTTCCAATCATCGTCAACAATCTCCTCCCCAACCAAGCATATTGTCTCGGGAAACACGTTTGGGTGTTCGGAATCTCTTCTTCCCCTGTTCATCTTGATCTTTGTTTTAAACCTCTTTTTGCTTTGGGACAACTCTGGCAAGGTGTCGTCACCTTTTGCGGTACGGGAAAGCGGTGGGCGAAACTTGAGAAGACTGTCACGAAAAACAGCAAGCGAAGTTTGCGGGAAAATTATCCAATATACCTCTTTGCATCATATCATGAATAAATCAGCTCTTGTTTAGGAGGCGGAGTAGAACTGGAAATCTGGTGGTCGTGGGGAAATACGGCCTAGTTGACAACTATCACACGCAGAACGGCGATTTCTGGTGTTGAGTTGTGGCCTGTCTTGCTTGGATTTGTTTTGCGAAAGCGCGCATGGTGTTACTGTGAGCGAAACTCCCCGGGAAAGAGATATGAGATATACCATCGTTGTTCTACTGTTCACATGTATTCATTTTCTTCTGTCATCATTCCATTGCGATATTTGCCAGTTACATGGTGACGAATCTCACACAGCTTTCTACGACGACAAAGAGCTGTACGCGAGATCTACTGCACTTCCTGTTCCGGACCACACAACCGAAGCTTCGGTGCATAGGTCTTGGGTCAAAAGACCAGCTGACTTAACTACTGTACCGACTTACCAAACGGGTCGAGCTTCGGAGTATGCGCTGGCACTAACTTACCCACTCCACGGCCGTACCTGATTAGCGCTTCACACAAGTCGCACCTTTTCCCGACACCCCCGTGAGGAAAGCTACCAGACATGGCATTACTCCGAAAGAAGGGCCACTTGGGGTTGTGCTTTCGGCGACGGACAGATGTTCTCTCACGCGATATCGTGAGAGGCGATGACGATGGACGAGCCTCCGCGGATGTAGATCTGGAGATGTGTCATGCATGGGGTTCGGGATGCGCGTTGTTTGTGATGACGACATTTAAATTGAAAGGTGTTTTCGTCGGGTTGTTGATGAGGATGAAGACGCCGAGGTGCAAGACGTTTGTGCGGGAAGAGATAGCTCTGCATACAATGTTGCAGGTGAGGTGAGTTACATGTAGTAGACTTCCGGCATGCCGTGGAGAGAAGGTGTGCTGGGATGCGCGGAGTCCTTCAAGGCAGCTACGTCTTGGAGATTCTTACCTTCTACCATAGCTTGCGATATTTGGGCGATACCAGCCTTGCAGCGATATTGTTCATATTCTTCTCGTTGGACAAGAGTATTCAGGCGTTGAAAACATCTGCGACTGCTCTGCGGTCCCTCTCGCGGTGGCTGGACGATGCCACGCAGGATGAGTGCCCGGCTGGACACAACCATGTCGCATTCACTGAGGCAGCACTGGCACCACAACGAGCGAAGACGATGAGAAGCTAGCTCGTCGCGCAATTGCTCTCTGACGATCATCTGCCGACTTCATCGCTGAGTCCGAAGTACAGCGGATGCTGGTCATCATGGTGAGCATTGTGTTCGAGAGAGCTCACTCATGTAGCATTGAGCGAGGCACCCACACGAGCATCCAACAAGCTGAGGTCCACTGCATCTCTCGATTCCGGCGCTCGGCACCAACCTGAAGCTGATCTGATTCATGTACATCGTTGAGAAATCCAGAACGAACCGCTCACGTGTCTAGATATGCACTTGAAGCGAATCAAACCGACTTTCGCAGCGTTCCGCTCACCAACAGAAAATGGATCACCATCGGCAGAACTGTGCGCCAGCACCGGAGAATTGAAGTTGTGCAAATTTGTGTACACTTGCAAAACGGTCGGTCGCTTCTGCTTGAGTCAGTGTTTTGCGACGAGTCGTCTTCATACAGCCCCTGCAGGTCCGGATTTAGCTACTAAGCTATGGCGAATCCTTCATGAGGCGTATAGCACTGTCGGACCATCTTCTCGCAACAATGAGCGACGTTTACAGATTGCGGGAATTACAGCAAAATGCACATCATCGGACACCGTCCAACGAAGCAGCTTCAAAGCAAAGATCCAAAGACTTGGCAAAGAAAGGCTTTTGGTTGTTCTCTCCACAACTCAGCGAAGAAGTCTATGCATACCATTCTTGCCGTTCGCAGTTCCACGTGCAGTTCGGGTATTTACCTGAGACATCAAGAAAAAAGCTTCTGTGGTGATCACTCGCATGAAAATACGACCACTTCAAACAGTGGCTTCTCACGAATTACTCCATCCGGGAAGCCTTGGTCTGGGCAAGCATCGAGTCAGGCAAGTCGCACCAGTTCAAACAGGAGATGCACCGCAATTCTGGCCGCAATGGGACACGACTAGGACCTCATGGTATTTGCGGACATGTTTGGCGTTGCTGCAAGAGGAATGAGGACGGAGGCGAGCTGCAAGCCATCGCCGCCGCCACTCACTGCTGCTGACTTCGAGCTCAACGGTCAATGGGCTATAGCTCAGGCCGTGACATGGAGATATATAACAGGTGAGTTGATGCTGCTGTTGGACTCTTTCATTCTCATCTCATTCAGCAACATCAGTCGAGCAGACTTACATTCGTTCTCAGTTATCTTGCGTCGACATCAATCAACTTCGATTCTACTTCACTTTCGACTTCAAACTTTCAGCCAAGATGCAGTACAAGTTCACTTTCATCCAGCTTGCGCTGGCAACCAGCGTTCTCGCTGCTCCTATGCCTGCTGCAGAGCCAACTTTTGGCCACGGATACGGCGGCGGGGACGGTGGCGGTAGCGTCGGTGGCAAGGGTGAGTCGTCGTTCTTGTCGAGAAACAAAAGGCGGAGATCCGTTACTGACGAAAAGCAGGCGGAATCAACGCTGGAGTTGGCGTCAACCTTGGAGGCTTGGGTGGCCTCGGTATGTTGATACGCTGCCGTCTCCGCTTGTTCGCAACTGACAGAGTCTAGGTGCCGGTCTTGGTCTTGGCCTGGGTGGCAAGGGTGGAGTAGGGGCCAACGTCAATATCGGTGCTTCACTTGGGTCTATCATTGGCGGTCTTTTGGGCGGCATTCGAGGGGGTGGTTATGGTTCAGGAAACGTGGGCGGTGGTGGCTATGGATCTGGATCTGGCAACATTGGTGGTGGAGGCTACGGATCCGCGAATGGTGGAGGCGCCGTGAACGGAGGTGCAGGTGCTGGTGGATATTCCAGTGGAGGGGGGAAAGGGACAGCGAGCGGCAGTGTTGGCGCTGGAGCTGGAGCTGGAGCCGGAGCCGGAGCCGGTGGTTCAAAGCCCCCTAGCTACGGCGGCAGCCAAGGCGGCAACGGTGGCAACACCGAGACGAGCCCTACACCAGGCTCGGATGACGATGATGACAAGGACGACGGTTCTGACGGCGGAAGCTCCCAGCCACCACCATCGTACGGCTCCAACCCACCAAAGACGAGCCCAAGCGCACCAAAGGGCTACTAGATCACGAACTTGACGGAAAAGCTGTAATATAATGTAGCTGAAAAGCATGACAATCCTTTGTACAACCTCAATACATTTGATGAACGAACCTGACTTCTATGTGTACTGGTTCTACCACACTTCTTCTATGCCTTGTGAACGCCGGCCTCTTCAACATACACAACACTACCTTCCTTCTCTCCCATCTTATCGTCAATGCTGATATCGATATCCCTTTGATACACAGCGACCTCGTCAACGTCTCCAAAGATGGCAGCAACTTCTTCGAGTGGCTTGCCCTTGGTATCTGGGAACCAGAACCACATGATGACACTGCCGATGGTTCCAGGAATGATGAAGCACAAGTAGAACTTCCAGCCGATAGTCTCAAAAGCAGTTGGAGCTGCCTGCAACCACATGATATTCATGAGCGAAATCATGGCCACACCCGCAGACATGCCTTTGGCACGGAGATGACTGGGCCAGATTTCGGAGATGTAGGTGAACTGAAGTCCATCGAGACACCAGTCATACGGAATCTCGAAAATGAAGAGCATTGCCACAGCCGCTTGAAGTGCTGCAGAGTTGTTTGATGGGACGAATTCGGCAATGAGAGCCGCTTCGATGATGAGGGTGACCATACAGCCAAAGACCCCGATGGCGAGGAACTTGGCTCGGTTGAAGTGATCGACCAAGAGGGAAGCCATGGCATTGAGACCCACAGCCAATGTGAGCCAGGCTGCAGGGTACAACAATTGCTTGGTCTCGGAGAATCCGAGGTTTCTGTACAGTGTGGGACCGTAGTTGTTGATGACGAGCACACCGGAGCATTGGATGAAACCGGTAGTGCCGATTGTCAACCACAGACGCTTGCGAAGAGATGGTTTGCGGAAGATGTGCATCCAGCTGTCGTCGAGCGTGCGGTCAAGTGTGAGCTGTTTCTGGATTTGAACGTACTCTGCTCGAGCAAAGGAGTGTGAAGGGTCTGATGGATCGTCGTGCAGACGGAAGAGAATGTTCTTCGCTTCCTCGCCGCGGTCTTTCATGCACAACCAACGGGCTGCATCGATATTAGCTTGGGTCAAGCGATCTGAAACGGAGAACTTACGACTCTCAGGCACCCAGTACAGTCCACTAAGCAACATCAGCGGCCAGAGACACTGGAAAAGAATCGGGACACGCCAGGTCCAGTTTCCGCCCTCTTTCCAGTGGTAGAAGCCAAAGCCGATCCACGATTGAATGAAGTAACCGAACACGAGTGAGATGGCGTGCACGTTGACGAGAGCGCCTCGCAAGTAAGGAGGTACCACTTCGGACATCCAGATTGGCACGGCGGCAAGGATCATGAATGCGCTGGCTCCGGCAATGAAGCGGAAAATCAGGAATACAATGATGTGGGTACTTCCCGCCAGTGCGGCGCCCGAGATAAGAGCAAGGAGAGCGCTCTGTTTGATGTTAGCTTGTATCGGAAGGACAGTCTTGGACAAACATACCACTCCCAAGCCAGCCTTCCTGCCCCACCTATCGGTGAAGAGAGGGAGTGTCAGAGTGCCAATGACACCTCCGGCCTGAAAGAGGCCATTCGTAGCTGCAATGAGTTGGGTGCCATTGGGACGAGTCGCGAGCTGGAAGTATGCGATGAAGGTGGGTTGGCCTGTAGCGAGTCAGCTTTATCCGCGATGCTACTATGGCCATGGAGAATGTACCCAGAGTTGAGCCAATGATACTGGCAGTGTAGCCATATACCATGCTGCCGATGGAGACAAAGAGCAGCATCCATATGTTGTAGGCATTGAGCTTTCTGTTGCTTCCCTCTTCTCCAGTGGAGAAGATACGTGAGACCCAGCCCATGATGGTAGTCTATTGATGGAGTAGAGATTGAAAATGAAAAGATCAAACACCTTACCTCGAGCAAGCCAGCAGCCATTGTCTTATAGCAATACCAATCCCAGCGACAGACAGCATTCCGGCAATCTTCGTGCGGAGATCTCGGTAATATTTTGACACGAGGAGGTCGTCGTAAGAAAAGTCAAGCATTTGTGCATGTGTAGCGAAGCCTCGTGCCAGCCGCGTGGCATGCTTGCAAGCTCCGACAAGACCAGTAGGAAGACAGTCGCCAATGGTGGCCAATACTTGCCTGGAGGTCTCTTTGATTTTGGCCAATGGCACGACCTGCGGGCATTTCACTGCAGCAGGCGAGACCATGTGGCAGCTGCACATGCAGGCGATAGTCGCTTCAACCCCGCGAGGTGGCGTTTCAATGTGTACCCCGGCTCTTGGGAGGAGGATTGAAGCTGTCGGTAGTATTGTCTTGACGAGGTTCACAAGATGAGCACTTCTTCCTTTTACACGGTCACGGAAGATTCACCGGGACAGCAAACGGCTTTGCTCGTTGCTGAGTGCTGCTGCGTCGAGGACTTGGATAAGAAAGCTCGTGGAGTTTCCCCCAGGGTTGAGTCGTGCAGTCGAGTCGCTAGCAGCGTGTCGAAAAGTCTAGAGATCAGCCACATCCAAGTTTGAGGATAAGTTTATGCGGCGGCGTATGACTTCAAAACGAGTCGAGCCTTTGCCGATAGAGCGATGGAAATCCGTTCGTAGCCTGGTGATGCGAGTCTCCTTCATGATTGAAGACCATCTTCGTCGGCCTTCTATAATGTGCAACGCTGCCACGAGAACACATTGGCACCTGTAATTCCACTACCAGAAATATTTCCTTGTCTGCTGGAAGCAGCTTCCCGGATACTGGAGTCTTCTCACGGCAATAATCCTGTCGGAGCGGGGTGCTTCGAATGGTGGCGCTCTCCCTGGTTTTGAATCACTCATCAGTATGACTACCATCGTAATGACACGGCAGTTTTAATGAGAGGTGTCAATGATACCAGACGTGGGCTCAAGGCATCCCAGGTTGGTCTTTGTCGTTTTGAGCGGTTTGTGCTGTGCACGTCAAGGCAAGAAAGTAGCCGCAACGGACCAGTTGCCGTCGGCGCCCGGCCATAGCTCTGTCCGGCGGGGAACGATGAGTCTTTATATTTTGTCAAATTTCTCTGGCAGCATAATTCAACCAATCATTGGTTCCAACCACTCGGTTGTGAGTATTACCAGTTGCACACCGCACTGAGCTTCCACTAATACCCATCCCAGGTATAGTGTAGCGGTTATCACATCGGATTCTGATTCATCAGAACTTTCCGGGAACCCGTGAGTACATGTGCAATCATTGTTTCCTTGAACATCATCTAACATGTCATTAGCGGTTCGGTATGTCTCTATCAACTTCCAGTCATAAGCCCGCAGTGCCTAATAGCAATGCAGATTCCGGGTACGACCTTAAGCAATTATCTTTTTTGCCAAGGTGTTGGATCCATTTTGCCCTGCAAAGCCAACTTCTTTGCTTACGAAGGTAAGGGAGTTTTGTGCTTCGCATGGACAATTACTTCGTACATTCCAATCGAATCCATATCAGCTTCATTCGAAGATATTACTTTATATGGGCTTTATTTATTTGCTAATGGACTGCTCAAGCCTGCTTCAAACACCATTCTTTTGTGCGGGTGGGGCAGTTCATCTCGTAGACGCTTCTCACGAGATGAGATGCATGTTTTGTACTACAGCGAATACACGTACACCAACGCCAGTGCAACCCATGTCGAGATGCTGACAACTTGCTGCCTCCCAACAATTAGATAATTACTGCTTCTTAGCCGCTTCGTGCAAATCCTCAAGGAAACCCCATTGACCCCTCTCCTTCCAGCCCTTTGCCCTCCAATCATTAGCCTCAGCAGGCAAGTATTCCAGCACATTGAACAGACTCTGGTCGTGCGCGGCAATGACGAAGACCTCCGGCTTCGCGTCGAATTCCTGGATAGCTGTAATGGTATCTCTGGCAGCTTGAATGTCTATCGCTATGGAAGTACCATTCTCATGCTCCACGATGGTCTGGAACGGGACCTGATCGAAAGTCGACTCAAAATTTCCAAACGCAGCATGATATCTCTTGGGGACATCTGCTGCATTGGATGCTGGGTGGATCGGCTGAAGCGCGGACGCGGTGCACGTACATGTATGCAGAGCCACAGAATCTGGCAGTGGTGCTCCAACGTGTGGTCTCAGTTGCGAAGTGTGATGGAAAGAGTCTGCAGCCATGTATATGAAGCTGTCATTTGTCGTTCGTGCGAGAGCATTCATGTGTCCAATGGCATGACCAGGAGCGAGCAAGAAGTAAAAGCTTCCATCGCCAAAGTAGTCCAGTGCTTTGAGACTGCCAATCTTGAGATTAAAGTCTTCAGTCTTCAGCTCTTTGACTGCTCGTCCGGCAAATTCCCGGGCTAGGATCGGAGAGCTCTCAACATCTGGCCATCCTGGAAAGTAAGCCTCCTTGATACCAGGACCCACGATGAGTTCTGTGGTGGAAGGAAAGAGCGAGGGCCTTCCGACGTGATCGAGATGTGCATGACTGTCGGTCCATGTCAGCAAATATGCAATAGCAGCCACCACGGAATCAGTACTTACCTCCAAATCACGCCCTCGATACTCTTCAGATCCACGCCTCCCTCGGTCAGGATATCGCTGACATATTCCTTCGATTCCATCATGCCACCCACGCCTTTCATCGCTTGGACCCGTTGGTACACATCGGGAGGAAAGTCCTTCTCGAGATCGACGGGAATTCCAAGATCGAAGACCAGCTTTCGCTCTTTGCCATTTCCACTCGTGTGTGTAATCAAGAAGGAATACGCGGGTGCGCGTAACTTGTCCAACCCGGGGATTGCAGGACCAGCAAACAGGCTTAGTGGAATAGAAGACCGCATTGTCGTGTCAATGATGGAGACCTTGACGGTCGAGGTCGACTGTGGGATCTCCCACGTAGCTTTGCACGCCATGATCAAACAGTGCGTGCTGTATCTCCGCTGCAAGTTTTGGGCGCTGGTGGTTGTCCGACATAGTTTGATGCTCGTGCCTACAAGACCATGACGACGATCCCTTTATGCGCAAGTGCCATAGTGGAACTTTGTGGCAAGAGAGGATCCACACATTTGTCAGCAGGTACAAGCGAGGACAACAACTGCCCTGTTTGGAGAACGTCTATCTAGCTCTGTTGCCAGTGGGAGGAGGCAGTCGCTACTGTATACAAAGATTTGCTTGGTCAGCATCAGCGTCACCTCAATTGTCATGTTCACTGTCAAAAGTATTATTTGTTCTCTGTCACCTGTCGAGACACGGATCGGCATTATCATCATCTTCAATGTCGGCGTCTGTCGTGCCCTCCTCATACATGCCAGTCCTCTGCCGGCTAGTCGGTCTCGGTCATGCCCTTCACTGAGAGGAGCATCGATGTAGTGGCAAATGTGCTACATCGACAGTGGTGCAACAGATCCTGGGTATCAGCACAGCCATGCGCCACAAGAGGGAAGAATTCTCGTTGCCTGTCAAAACGCAATCGAGACTCAAACAAAATCTGCCGAGTAAGAGAACCCTCGGAACTCCTCTTGCATAGCTTGCGATAGCACTGCGGGATACATGTTAGCTTGTCTTCGTTGCGGTGACTGTTCGAATCTCAACTTACCACTCTGTACCGGCGTCAGGACTGGAGTAACACTAGTAAACTCCGAGTCGAAATTGCTGGTGTCCGCTCTGCTCTTCACAGTCGGGAGGAAAGGTGCAGGAACCCGCTTGTAGTAGACATCTTCCCAATTAACGTTCCTAAAGAAGGCATGGGACATGATCTCCTGGGCATCGGTAGGTCCAGAGCCAAGTCGCAGTTCCGGCTCTCGTGTCAAGAGCTTTTGAAGTATCGAGACACTGTCTCTTGGCATGTGAATTGGATAGAGCGGTTCATCGGCCAGAATTGCGTCGTAGATTTCGTCCTCGTCCTCACCGCGGAACGGCGATTGCTGGAGGAGCATTTGATAGATGAGGACACCAAATGCCCACCAATCCACAGCACGTCCGTACTTCTTGTCCAACAGGATCTCAGGCGCCATGAATTCCGGGGTACCGCAGAATGTGCTTGTCGTTGAGCCATACCACATGTCTTCCTTGCACAGACCGTAATCTGCAATCTTGATGTGCCCATCAAGAGTAAGCAGAATGTTGTCCAGCTTCAGATCACGGTAAATGACGCCGTTCTCGTGGAAATACTTCAGCGCCAGGCAAACCTCTGCAGCATAGAATTGTGCTCTTTTCGTGCCAAATTGTCCACGTTGGATGTGCAGCATCAAATCTCCTCCACTAATGTATTCCATGACGAAGTAGATGCGAGTCTCCGTTTGGAAACAAGCGTGCAGATTCAACAAGAACGGGTGGCGTTCCTTGTTCGCAATCAGGAACACGCGCTTTTCCGAGCGGGTGCTTTCCACTTCGTCATTTTCGATGATGAACTCCTTCTTTAGAACTTTGATGGCATAAAGCTGTTTCGTCGTCTTCGTCTCCGCGAGCATCACCTTTCCAAAGTTACCCTTGCCCAAAACAGCGAGGAAGTTGAAGTGATCGAGACCGATACGACGTCCAGTACCTGCAGTGTTGGCAGGAGGAGCTGGCTTGCGCTGTTCGACCACGGGCTCGGTAATTGAGACGTTCGGAGCGGGCACTGCAGCCGGCGATTGCGGTCGTCCTTGTGCAGTCGCGGGTGGCGGGCCCTGCGATATTGGTTGCGGAGGATAATTCTTGGCAGGTGGCTGAGGCGGCGGCGATACCGTTTGCTGATAAGGAGGTCCGGAAGAGTACCCAGCGACAGCAGCATAGTCAGCAGGATTGTATGTGGACTGCTGCTGCCCAGGCTGAGGCGCAATACGCTTGCTCTCTGCGTAGCCATCGGCATACCCACCTGATCCCCGTTGCTGTTGAGTATATGGATCCGTCGTCCCTCGGTCGTACGGTGGACGGTCGTTGCCGGAAGTTCGCTTGCCAGCCAAGGCAACGGAAGCTGCTGCAGCGGCTGCGGCGGCAGAAGATTGCGAAGACTGTGTGCGATGAGCAGGAGGACGGTGGCCGGATTCTGGAGAGGAAGGTGTCTGGCCACCGCCCATCGCAGCTTTTCCAGCGTCCGCAGCACCAGGAGGCGGTCCGAAGGAGGAAGTCCTGGGTGGCTGCTCATAGGAGTCGGACATGCGGTCTTTGCCGTACGAGAACCTGTCTTGTAGCCTGTCTTGCTCTTTCTGTGAAACTTGGTCTTGGTGTCCAGGCGCAAGCGCATAGCTTGAAGATTGTGGCGGCGGCGTGGGCCTACCGCTTGTTTGTACGCCGGGAGGTCTCAGCTTTGTGCTATTGGCGAGCATACGGCTGTTCTTCGTCTTCTTCAATTCAGCCAGGATCTGATTGGCGCTTTCCATGCTCATGCCGCAGAAGTCTGGCACAAAGTGTACGCAATTCGCGTGACTCGTCAGCTTGCACTCAGTGCACCTTCTCGCCTGCCGCCTTCCTATAGGTAGCATATATCCGCAATGGCAGCACCAGTTGGCACCCATGTTCGAGAAGGCATCGAAGCGATGTGGAATGCGGTGATTGATCTTCTCCTCATCCGGATCAGTTTCGGCGTTGGACTTGCTGATACACTTGGTGACCACTTTCTGGTAGCACTTCTGGTGACATGTGTACTTGCAGTCAGCGCATTGCATGCCGGCGGTATACTTCAAAAAGTCGCCGCATAGCGCGCATCGCATGATGTTATAGAATGTCTGCACAATGAACTTGTGGCCGTATTGCTCCACGATGTCTTCCTTCTTTTGACGGACAGCGCCCTTACGATTGAGACCAACATCGAATGGACGGCGGTCCTTGACCTGCTTGATGAAGCTGAGGGTCAAGTGAATCTTGCCGACGGGCTCGAGTGTGAACCAGGCATCAATGTAGACCGGTCCAGTCTGAGGTGCAAGTCCAGAACCCGCTGGACCGCCAGCCGCAGCAGCAATCGATCCGCCACCAGGCGCGTTCGTCCCATGTGATGAGTTCGGCGGTGGCGAGAACTGCATGTCAGGTCTTGCCAGCGAGCCGTCCATCTGGTCAGCAGTCTTCCAGCCTGCCTGGTTGAACTCTGTCTCAATCCTTTTCCTTCGGATCTCATCGACAAGATCAGACAAGCGGATCCAGAGAAGGCCAATGGGTATGGGATGGTCACCACTTGATTTGTCGTACACGGTAAATTCGATCTCGTTGGCCTTGTCTACGTCGAATTCGTGATTCTCGTCGGTCCATCGATCGGTCTTGGTAGCTTTCGTTCTGCCCTTGAGCACGTCTTCCACCTTCATGACGACAAAGGTATCCGGGCCTCTACTAAATCGTCCAGATGCGGCGTGGTCCACATTGTCGATGGCATGAATCCTGACAGACATGTGGCCGGTGAGAGGTTTCCGCTGGCTGGGAGTGTCTAAGCTATCGTCGTCGGCAGCATCGGCGCCATTCTCGACATCCACATGCAGGTCCTCATATCTTCGTAGTGCTCTCGTCAACAACTGAATCTTTTGGTTGCTCTCCATTCTTCGAAGCTCTGCCTCACCCCTGCTCTTACGATCGCCTTCCATTTGATAGAGCTTGACCATCTTCTCGATACCATCCTTATATTGCTTCTCCACGGAAAGTTTGAATTCGAGCTGGGACAACATGAGCTGTATGCGGGGACCTAGGTGGGGTGTTTCGTATTTGATGAGATCTGCCAATGTTAGTCATTTTCCCATCAGCCCGCATCGTCGCCTTACCAAGCTTGCTGTAGTTAGGGCGTGCTCGCGGAGTCCTCTCGCCGGGTCCAGGCGGGGCATAAGGCGCTCGCGGGGGCATGAGTCCGGGGGCTCCGCCCATGCTGTATCCACCCGGGCCTGGGTCGCCATAGTCTGCACCTCCGCCGTAGCCTTGCTCGTTCCTGTATCCTGAGCCTGTTGAGTCTCCGCGGCCATGAGAAGGACCCTGTGAACCGCCATTTCCTGAGACTGAAAGATTGCTCATGCTCGACCCAATGTTACGATCGCGCAAATCATTAAGCTTCTGCTCAAAGTATTGAATGTTTCGCCTGGCCTCTCTGATCTCCGAATCCGCCTTTGACACGACCTGGGCATTGCCTGTGGCCTGTCGCATCTGCGTGGCCGCCTGGATCAGCTTCTTCTCGCGCTCGATCCGGCGGTAGATCTCTTGCGTGGCNTCTCGGGAGGTATGGGTTCGTATATCTGGAGGTGTTGGTGGTGCTGCACAGCGGCTGAAGTCGAGATGTCGGCTGTCAGGCAACGGCACGTGCAGCTCGAGAGGATGTGGCCCGGCTGTCTGAGGGAAGGCTCGCGGCTCAGCTGTCGCCGGGCTGCAGGGCAGGCGGGCGTGTGTGTGCAGTGTGGAAGAAGAACGAACGCGCAGCCAGACGGGCGTGACGCGGCGGCGGGTTGGCGGCGGGAGGTGCCTGTGCTGTGGTGTGCCAGGTGAGGTGGGAGAAACAGGACAGAAATGCGACCCCTCGTGGAAGCTTCTTCCCAGCGCGCAGGACCACAATCAGGCCGGCCGCACCAGATGAGGTCGTCGGTCGGTGGGGTTCGGCACGGCAGGCACAATGGCACAGGTGCAATAGGTATAGAGCAATGCGAATTGTTGCTGATGGCACGAGATAATGTGCTCCCAAGCCTGCCCGCGCTACGTCCGTGCCCTCAGAATACGTCAACTGATCAGCGTGTCAATAATGCGCAGCCACGCACTAGTGGCAATGGCCTGTTCTCTCCTTTTGCCTGCATGAACTGTCGATAAGTGCAGTAGAGAGCGTGAGAGGACAAAGGATGTGCTCCGGCGCTGCGGACGATGGGGCGGCGCGGCAAGAGTGAGAGAGCAGTGGAAGGACGAGCAAAGGTGAGAGACAATGCGAGCGTGGGGCAAATTTCTGCCGGTAAACAAACTTGCTGCCCAACAGACTATCCCATCACGTAGATGAAATGTGGTGACACCGCCACGATCAAGTCTGCGACTGCAGCGCGCAGACCACCTATCACCGCTGCGTTTCAGGCGGGCTGCTACACAGCTACAGCATGGCGTTGAAACACGACTTGCCATGGCTGCCAGGAATTCGGCGGCATCTGGCAGGTTTATTCAGACGTGGTTGAGAATCGCGCGGTTGTGGCGTTTGGCACACTACCACATGTCGTTGCCGTGAATCTGTGGTCTATACAGTACATGTTCTCAACACGGGCCGGAGTGATGCAGACAATTCTATTCTGGACAACTCTGCTGAAGAAGATGCTCAGACTGGACAATGCCGCCGCCGATCGTTTTAGCTTTGCTCGGAGCGGCCGTGTCTTTTTGTGGAGAAATACGAATCATCATGCTAAGTACCACCTTCCACTGCTTGACCAGAGGCCAATCGTCGAAACACTCAGGTTGCATTTAAGAGTCCATTCTGTCAACGCCCGTCACGTCCTCACCTAGATCAAGCTCGCTCAACACCAAGCATATTTCATATTTTCCACCCAGTCAACATCTTTCCAGTTCCCATCGTACCATCGTAGGCTCGGTATGCTCTCTGACTGGCGTTCCATCACCGAGACATTCTTGTCAATCTGTTTGGCAGCAGCTAATGCAAGGCTGGTGGGATTCCACAACATGACCTCTTTCATCCCCCATCGATCCGCTTCTGTCTGTGCAACGGCCAATATCTTCGCAATTGACTGTCTGATCTCTGCGACCTTGCCAGATTCCAGACCTGGCAACTGCTTCCGCCCTTCGATAGCAGCGTTTATCGCATCAACGCCTTCCGTGGTGGCTGGGGACAGATCCGCTCCGAGTTGATCGTCTTCTATCACAAGACGTAGGATGTGCAAGGTATTTGGATCGTGGCCTTGAGGATCCGCCCATACGCGTGTCCAATAAGCCCAAACAGAGCCAACTCTAGCACCTCTGACAGTAGGCGATTTTTTGAGCAGTTCTTTGGATACAAAGTCTTCTCGAGCGTGATGCCAGGCTACAGTTCGCTGATCTGGAAGGATCGAGACAGTCGTCCGGCCGTTGTTGCCGCGTGCCTGGAGACGGCTGCGCATCAGTTTTTCGTCGATCATACACGCTTCCGCTAGGTCTTGGCTCTTGAGAAGCTGTACCCCTGCACCTAATGGCTGCTCGCGTGCCGGGAGAGTGATGTGGAGTGACGCATATGGGTGCCATCCTCTCGCAGCGTAAAACTGCTTCCCGATATCTGACCAGAGAGCACTGAAGACGTGCTGCTTGTCATTGTCCACTTTCCAATTCCTCAACTTGTCGCCCAGCTCCGCCATCATTCTGCCAGCGTACCCTCTGCCACGAAACTCCGGTAGACAAAAGACGGAGCACACGCCGTGGCAGATTGCATCGTCCACCTTGCCGTTCTTCGAGACCAACGCTCGCTTCTTGATCGTTTCACAGCCGGTGAGAATGTGGCGATCTGCAGCGGAGCCTGGCTGCCAAACGAGTACCCACGTGGTGAGACCGCCGTCTCTTGTGAGTTCCTGGTTTGCCAGGTGCTGCTCGCGAAGCAAGTACGGCTCGAGCTCGAGCGCAGCTTTCCATTCGATGCTGTTCGCGCGGGAGAGTTCTTCGATTTCAGCTGGGGTGGCCGTGGTGAGATAGATCTCGGATGAGTCCTTCGGCGGGAGGCCAATGCTGCCCATGATGTGCTGTATCTGTCTAGGTTAGGTGGTCAAGGTTGAATCGTGCGTTACTGAGGATCAAGAATGAAACGTGCAGGGCGCAAGAGGAGAGATAGATATGGAACGTAATGAAGCGTGCTACCGGCCGAAGATGCGCCCTTCGTCGTAGACGTCGCCAATACCTGCGGTTAGGGGACGAGGTCGACGAGCACCTGCCGGATCGCGAGCGCGCTTGATCCGGCGTACGAGGCAGTCGCATGCTCTTATGTTATAGCCCGAACATAAGCGGTCAGAGGGTTTGCGGTGTGCCCAGTCCATCCTGGATGTGCATGTGGTCGGGAGGCCATGATGTGGTTGGCTTGTAGGAGCGCGCTCATCGTCTGGAACCGCACTGTCCATGTCCATCTCGTGACTCCGAACACGCCGCCAACACGCCGATCAGCGGCGCCCGCGATAACATGGACGATGCGAGATCCACCACGCATCTTCCCATTCTGCAATGTCTCGTCAATGCTTGCCATTGCTGTGCGACCATGCCAAGCAGGCGACGAGGGCGGCTATCTGGCGGTCGTGAGGGGCGAGCGTGCAGAGTACCTTGCAGTGAGACCGGATGCCCACAGAAGTTCAAGCTCTGCTCTCTCATCTCCGCCTGGAACCTCATCTCCTTGCAGTATGCTGCCTGCCCTCGAACCAGCGCGAACGCCGCCGTCGCAGCGCTGCACATGTCCCGCGAAGGTGAGGTGAGAGATGCGCCTGCCTTCACTTGCTCTGCGCGCGCTTTCCTCCGCCGGTGAAGGGCGCGCGAGGCTGCCATCCACCACTTAACCACTGTCACTTCCTGGACTGCCTCCAAACTTTGTCAACAGCCGTACCATCTCGCACCTCGACCACCAGTCGCTGTCATTGCAACCATTGCTGTCGCCTTCGTTTACATCCATACATCAGCACGAGCCAAGCCCGAAAGCTCGACTTCACCTTCGTGCTAGGAACAGATCAGGTCGGCGCCACACAAACGCTCGCACACTTCCCACACATATCGGCAAGCCGCAACGTCCGGTGCTGTGGCCGACTCCAGCGCGCGGATTCCGACTTGTCATGGCCGCCGCGAGATCATCGTCACAAGTAATTGACCTTGTCAGCAGCAGCGAAGATGAAGATGACCTCCAGATCTTAGACCGCCCGCCAAGATCTGTGCCCGCCACAGCCTTTGGGAACCCGGATCCTCATGGCCTGCCGGAACTCGAGCCTCGAAATGCGTACGACGCAGGCCTAGAAGACTATGGCATGGGTACTGCTCCTGGCTTCTTTCCGAACGGGATCGAGGATGACCAGATATTCCATCAGGATCCAGCAGAACGGGAGAGAACACGAGGCGGAGGCGAATATCAGTACTTCGGGGACGAGCTGGTGTGGATTCCAGATGATTCTCCTCCTCCGTCTCCGGTCAGGCAGGCGTCTCCACCTGTGCAGGAGGGCGCGAATATGCGATATTTAGACTACGACAACGCATTCCCACCACTCGCAATCGCGCCGGTTTACAATAGCGACACATGTTTACAGCGGGTCTTGGAAGTGTTCCCGGATGTCAGGTAAGCCATCAACTTGCACTGCTCGAGCCTTATTCGACTGCCCAAATGCCTCATACTTCCGTGTCTTGCTAATCTCTTCCCAGCCACGAACATGTCCTTTCACTGTATGCCGAACTTGGACAGCAGCAGCCACCCATGCTTGGTCCCGATATCTACGAGAACATCGTTACGAAGCTTGCTGAGGCGGACAACTACCCCAAACAGGGCAAGGGCAAGCAACCCGCAGCTAAGCGCAAGGCCGAGAGCGAACTCCAGAACGATGACTTCAAGCGATGGGAGGGTCCGGACAGACGAGCTCCTCTTAAGATGCTGAATCGGCCAGTGGCTTCGGCGTTGAAGGCAGATTTTCCCGATGTTCCTATGAAGATCATCGCCGAGCAACTGTCTCAGCACCGTCAGCAGCTTTTCCAGACCTATGTTGCGCTCGCAGCAATGAGAGACGCGAAAGATTCTGGTTGGACCGGACGTCCGTCAGCCATGGCTAGCGCCGATACAATCGTTCTGAACACTGGGGTTCCTGAGCTCTACGATGAGTTGCAAGCTGCTCGCAAGCGGGTCAGCGCTGTCAGAGCCGAGCGCACGATTGAGCAAGCGAGACGTCGAGCCGAGGAAGAGAACCTGAGGCGAGCGGTCGAAGCTGGTGAGACCGCGGAATGTCAGGCGTGTTTTGACGACCTTCCCATGAATCGACAAATTCATTGCAATGGCGCCGAAGCTCATTTTACCTGCTTCGACTGCATTACCACGTATATCAAGTCAGAAGTCGGCCAATCTCGCTGCGGTGTCATGTGCACGGCCGGCTGCGGCTCCGGCTATCCACACGCTCAACTCCATCTCCTTGAAGACAAGCAGCTCCTGGAGAAGCTTGAACAACTACAACAGGAGAAGGACATTCGCGATGCCGAGCTCGACGATCTGTCCGAGTGCCCCTTTTGCGACTACAAGGCCATTCTACCATCCATCGAGGAGGACTTTGAATTTAGATGTCTGAATCCAGACTGCGAGAAGGTCAGCTGTCGTCGATGCAAGGCAGCCTCCCACATCCCGATTTCCTGCGAGGAACATGCCAAGGACCACAAGCTCAACAGCAGACACAAGATCGAGGAGGCGATGACCGCAGCATTGGTGAGAAAGTGCAACAAATGCAGTAAACCCTTCATCAAGGATTTCGGCTGCAACAAGATGGTACGCATTCCGTTCCCCTAAGCAAATCGTCTACTAACAATGCCTAGTCCTGCTCGTCGTGTGGTAACTTACAATGCTACGTCTGCTCGGAGACAGTCAGAGACTACAATCACTTTGATCAAAATGCCGCAGGTGCCCGGAATGTCAATCCTGCCGGGCCTTCATCCAAGCGTTGCCCTCTGTACGATAATGTCGAAGAGCGACATGAACGAGAAATTAAGGAAGCAGAAGCAAAAGCTCGGGCAGAGGCGTTAGAGGCGAATCCAGGTGAGCTCGACGATACATGAGTGCTGCACACATGGAGGAGGAGTACTTACATTCATATAGACATCACGGAAGAGGACCTAAAGATCAAGGAATCCGATGCGGTACGGAAGGCTACTCAGGCCAAGATCGGCCAACAAGGCGGCGTCCGCGGACCTCCTGGTTTCCCCGGCGGTGACTACGGTTTGTTCAATCGCGGAGCTGGCCTTGACATTGATGCTGACCTGGACGACGAGGACCATGATGACCCGCAATTCCGAGCAGCGGTACGTAGGCAACGTGCTAGGGCGCATGCAAGGGCGATGATGGTTGGCAGAGCGGCGCGAGCAAATCGGGTCGGAGCTTTGCAGGCACAAGCTGGTGCCGTTCGTGTTCCAAACCGAGCCGGCGGAGCCAACGCAGCGCTGGACAATCCGAGAGGACCCCTTGGTCATGGACTTGGTGGCCATATTGCAGGCCATGGAGCTCAAGCACACCTAGCCCGTCCACAGCCAGTATATCAAGGTCTTGCGCATCCTCATCCCTTACAAGCACCACAGTTGGGAATGCCCAACATGGTCGGTTACATGCCCATCTACGGGCTACAGAGACCAGACGTTGGCCAGCTCGCTCAGCAAGCCCCCGTGCTACCCTTAGGCAATGCAGCACCACACAGGTACGGCGATGCACCTCACGGCTTACAGGCAGCCGCTGCTGATCGACATTTGGAACGTGACCATGGCCCTGGGTACGTATTGGGAGCCCGGAACAATGGTTTGGGAGGACAACAAGGTCTCTTTGACGCATTCGTGGAAGATCCATTCGGCGGCGGTGATGCGGACCCGTTCGGTTTTGGCAGAATCATCCAGGGCGACCAGGCCCCGCCACGATTTCCCGAGATGCTGGCTCCTGGACAACCTCGCAACCATGAACTAGGTCGCAATGCTCAGCCGGAGCTTCGGGAGCAGCACGAGGCTCTTGCATATCGGACTGCAAGAGAGAGGCAGCGTAATGCGTTGCAAAATATGGAAGATCGGGCGGGTGGGGATGGAACAGTTTACGAATTGGCCTACGCGGATCCGAGACGCAGACGACGTGGAGTGTTTCCTGGTGCGCCAAATGCTGGATAGGCGCGACTCGCTTACACTGGCTGTGAAGGAAAGACATTGTCATTCATCGTGTGTTATATCTGCGTTTTGAGCGTGGTTTCGCATCTTTCAAGCAGGCTTTTGGTTTTAGCGAGGCGTCTGTCATTAGGTGACTGCTTGGTCTAGATTCAGACCCAACATTTATACTGAAAGCAAAGTTCGTTCATAGCTCACACTCATTCCGTGATATTCTTGACATCACGAAAAGGCTGCCTCGGAGTGATGCCTCAGGCCACAATGATGCTCGTCATACTGTGTTCATCAAATCCTGGTACGCGTAGATCGGCAAACATGGCAAGCGAGCCTCGAAATACTGGCAACAACCACAACACAAAGGAGCACGCGAGCACTTACGTCTCCCCATCATGCACGCGTACCGCCGGCCACAATGAACCAAGAACTGAGCCGGCAGTCGAGTCTGACTTCATTCCCGGACCCGGATCTAAGCACAGTTGCAAGTTTGCAGGGTACCGGCATCGAACCCAGGGCGGATCATTTAGTAGAAGCTTCAGATCTGGAACAAGATGCTCCTGTGTTCGAGCGAGATGCAACGTCTACAACGACACGGGAACGCGCACTAAGTGAGCCTTTGAGTGAATTGCTTGATGGCGGTGGCCACCCTTCCATGTTTGATACGCAGGAACTGGATCTCGGCAATCCCCAGAACTTGGCAATCGCGAGTAAAGACAGCATCCAGAGAGTGGTGCGGCATAGGGGCGCTGTTGAATTAGTGCGGCATTTGAGCAGATTGCTGGCTGAGAGAGATGCGCATGTCACTGCTTTGACGAGATTGGCAGAGGAGTACAAGGTGCCCAAGGAGCGCATTGCCGAGACTGCGGATCGAGTGAAGCAAGCCGAGAACCGACGAAGAAGCCTTGCAAAGGCGGCATCCGAGGAGCTGGTGCAAAGGAACGGGAGTGTGACTAGCAAGGCGCCCAGTATTGCGGAAGAGCTGCCAGAGGCCAACGGAAACGCTACGATTAGAGGTCTGACGAGATTCTTTGGTGGCAACGGTAAAGGAACTACGAAGAAGAAGGAAAGCGCTGTCGCCTCGCTGCAAAGCTCATCATCTTCGAGGTCAAGTTCAATACAACCGTCAGCTGCTAGAGCCGCCAAAGCACCGAGGCCGAAATCGATTGACGTCCAAAGTCTTAACAGCGTGGCAAGTGGAGACAGTATGGGGTGGGCTACCACTTTGTTCGGCGGGATGAGTGCTGCCGGTGGCACAATCAAGGGCTTGGGAGGAAGCGGCAACCGCCGTGCTTCAGAACGCGAACCTAGGGAGCCCGTGGAGATGAGCACACGACATGATGAGAGGACACTACCGCCTACTCTTTCGAAGAATCTACTTTCACAGCCAGCTCCCACTCCCCACGATGCCGAATGGAATCGATTTTTAAATCGCGTACAGCGCTCTCGGGAGCAAGCCGGTGAAGAGGCAAGATCAGGTGAACTCATTGGAGCCTCACGCTTTGGCAACGAAGGCTCGACTGGCAAGCAGAAGCAAGAAATGCTGACTAAACTTGTACTGGGAGGAATTCCTATGCGGTTTCGGCACGCGATCTGGATGGAACTCTCCAACACGCAGTCTGTTGTCCAGCCTGACGCTTACGAGCTGTATCTGAATGCAGACACCGAGAACTCCGACCCCACCGAAGTCGACGCCATATTGAAAGATGTGCCGCGAACATTGACCAGCAAATACGACTATTACGCAGAAAAGGGCTATGACCGATTACGTCGCCTTCTGATCGCCTTTGTCTCCAAGTATCCAGGTCTAGGGTATACACAAGGACTCAATATGATTGCTGGGTACCTGTTACTGGCTATACCAGACGAGAGTGACGCCTTCTGGATGCTATGCAACATGGTGGATTCCTTTTTCCCAGTGGACTACTTTAGCAAAGCCACCGCCATGTCGATTCCCATTGCCGACAACATCGTCCTGCGATCATACGTCAAAGAACAGCTCCCAAAACTAGCTGCAAAAATGGATAGCCTCGACATTGCACCCGAACATACCGTGCCACTTTCTTGGTTCCTGACAGCTTTCACTTCCGTCCTGCCCGAATCAGTTCTGCTCAGAATATGGGACGTGTGGTTGTGTGTTCCTGGACAGAAGACGTTCATCTTCAATGTCGCTTTGACGTTACTTGCAATTCATCAGAAAGGTCTCATGGACTGTGAAGATCAGAGCGAGTTTTGGGCGTACATGAGCAACAAGATCAAAGTCTCTGAGGAGCCAGAAAAGGTCAACGACTTGATTAAAAGTGCTTTTGTCATGAGGAAAAGACTTGAACTCGTGGAGCAGAGGAGGGCTGTGGAGGTGAAGAAGAGCATGAGAAGGACAGCGAGCACGGAAGCATTGTATAGTCCAGATGGAGAGGCGGCGCATGGTGGGGCATTGTCTTCGACTTGATTCTACCAAAAAGGTGTAACTGGTGTTCCTGGTGCAGGCGTTGGCGGCATGGTCGGACGGCTTCTTCGCCTCCTTTGAAGATACCCTCTTAACGTACATGACACACTGAGAAATCACAGTCAGTGTTTTTGAAACTTTGATGTGGTAGCATTGCCTGTATTTCTTGGATCTACGTGCAATTTCACTGCGTTCTGATTTCATCTCTCGTCTCTCTCATGCTCCCCATGTGCCCAGTAAACCGTCCCCGTACCAGACACTCCCCAACGCTATCGCTCAAAAAGTCGCGGAACACAAGAAGCAACTAGTAAGAACGTCCAAACATGACCCATTGTTCGGCCTTCTGGCCACACTTCGGGTTAATGCAAAGAGTGCCCTCTGCAATTGGCTCTGGCTGGTCGTGAGGGATACAGAGAGATTTGGCACCCATTGAAGGAGCGCGAGCATCGACTTCTTGGCCTTCGATGTTACCCTTGGAGTCTTCCTTGATTTGGTCCTCGCATGGGCCGCCGAGACAGTGTGGGACGAGAAGCACATTCTTGTCGTTGAGTGTTGGCACAAAGTCCTTCCATTCGCGGATGACCTTGCGGTGCGAAGCATATTCGTCTGAAGCCTTCTTGAACATGTCTGCTTGGATTTGTTCGAGAAGAGCAGGGACGTCTTTGGCGAGATTTGGAATTTCGATTGTGCCTTTGCCTTCTTGATCACGGCGGGAGGTTGTGACGACGTGGTTTGCGGAGTCCTTTGGTCCAAACTCGAGGCGGAGGGGAACGCCCTTTAGCTCCCAGTCGTTGAACTTGTAGCCTGGAGAGTAGCCTTCGCGCATGTCGCTCTCCACGCGCACACCAGCGTCCTCGAGAATTGTGCGAAGGCCTTCGACCTCATCGTAGAGCTTCTTGCGGTCGTCGTCAGTGGTCTTGGCTGTGATGCCCACTGGGACGATGACGACCTGCACTTCGGCAACACGTGGTGGGATGACCAGACCCTTGTTGTCACCATGCACGAGAACCATGACACCAATGGACCGAGTTGTGAATCCCCAGCTGTTCTGCCAGACGTGCACCTTGTTGCGGGTGGCTCCTGCTGCAACTTCCTGGTGTGGATCCTCCACGGTAATGTCAAACATCTTTGCGAAATGTTGTCCAAGACAGTGGGATGTCGCAGCCTGGATACCACGACCAACAGCTGGGATGAAACCTTCAATGGTCTTTGTGTAGTACGCGCCTGGGAACTGCTCGTTCTTGGTCTTCTGCCCCTTGACGACTGGCACGGCAAGCAAGTCTTCGTAAATTTGCGCATAGTAGTCGAGGATCTGCATGACTTCGGTACCCGCCTCTTGCTCTGTCAAATGCGCAGTATGTCCTTCCTGCCACAAGAACTCGCGAGATCGCAGGAAGGGAACGGCGTGCTTGAACTCCCACCGGACCACGTTATTCCACTGGTTCATCTTGAGCGGCAAATCGCGATGTGATCGAATCTTTTTGCTGTAGAAGCTGTACATGGCCGTCTCAGATGTAGGACGCACAGCCAATCGCTTCTCCAGCTTCGACTTTCCGCCCTCTGTGACCCAAGCGACTTCGGCAGCGAAGCCCTCGATGTGGTCCTTTTCACGCTGCAAGTTGGCTTCCGAAATGAAGAGTGGGAAATAACAGTTCTTGACGCCCATCTTGCGAATGCGCTCGTTGAAGTAGTCCTGGATGAATTCCCATATCCGGTACGAGGCAGGCTGGTAGATGTAGCATCCTGGAACATCGGTAAAGTCGAGCATGTCGCCCTTGAGGATGACTTGCTGATACCATTCCGACAGGTCGCCCGTCTTTGGTTCAGTGATTCCAATCAATTCGGGGCCGTCGGCCTTCTTCTTCGCCTGGCCCTGACCTTGTGGTGGCTTGTCCTTCTTCTCCTTGGGCTTCTTGCCCGCATTCTGGTCTTTGCGCTCCTTCTCTTGCTTCTTAGGCTTATCGGTTGGTGCAGCTCCGGTAGAGGCATCGGCACTAGCGTTGGCGACGCTGCTGCCCTCGACTTTGAGATCTTCCATCTTGGCCTCGATGCCGTTGCCAGCCATTGGCGGTGTTGCTGGGCTTTATGCGTTCCTGGAGTGTTTCGTGACTCACTTGGCGATGTGAGCAGCTGGGCAGGTGGTCGTCGACTCGTCACGGAGCTTGGAAGGCGTGGGGTGGAGCGGTGTCTAGACGGAGGCAGAGGCGGCGGTGTCGCAATGGCAGTGCCCGCAGCAGTGTTTCGACTCACACAATTCGAACACGAAATGCAGGACCCCTGTTTCTGCAGCGCGGGGGAGATCAAGACGCGCGCTCTGAGCAGCTTCTGTCGCGTGCGATCCGCTCGCCACAATCACATTTCCCTTGGCAATACTCCCACGTCTGCATCCTCACGTCTACATCAACATTTGCTCCGACAAACATTCAATGGCCGCAATGGCTACAGATGTGGGACCAGACACGGACACAACGTGAAGTGAACATCTTGAAACCAACGGGACTAGTCGACGTAGACTACAGATTGCAACCCTTATCTACTCGACGCTATACTCGATGCTACTGAAACCATTGCAGTCGACTTCTTCGAACTTGAAATCGTCGAAGTGCTTGCGTTCGTCTTGGCTTGCGGCGAGCGCATTGGAGTGTTAGCCCTTCGCCTCGCTGCTCTTGGAACCACTGGAGCTCCCTCCCACGCTGTACTCTCTGGCAACTGTTCGCCCTTCATCAGCAAGCTCAAGCAGCCAAGTTGTGCTCCATCGCCCACAGTGCTGCCGGGGAGGCACACTGAGTATGGTTTGAGACACGCACGAGCGCCTATCGAGACGTGTCCTACTTTCATGACGCGATCTTCGAAAAGATGCGTTTGAGCGCCGCAGTGCTCGCCCACCATTGCCTCATCTCCAATACTGACGCAGTCATATTCTGTAATGTCACTGTTCAGGAGAGTAACCCGCGAGCCAATTTTGACGCCCATCAGTCGGAAACACCAGGCCAAATATGGCGTGCCCACCAGCAGGCTTGCAAGTAAAGGCTCAGTGACCGTCTCCCACGTGCTGGTCACAGCTTCGCTCAGCCAGACATTGAGCGACCAGAGAGGCCATTCTGCATCATGATAGCGGCCGATAAGGATCCATTTGAGCAGCGCAACAAAGAGTAGCGAAGGTAGTGCGAAGAATGCAAAGTAGAAGAGCGGCAGCATGAGCAAGGTGTGCACCGCACCGATCAGGTGGTATCCCGCGTATGCCAGTCGCAGCGAAAAGCCAAGGCCGAACACGATGAGCGCGCGAGGAGCGATTATCCGAAGGCCTTCGATAGTCAATCGAGCTGCGATGCGTCCTTTGGAAGGGCTGAAGAGCAAATTGTCATCATGACCTTCAGCCTTTTGGCGAGCTGGCATTCGGACAGGCGGTGTGCCAAAGCAAGAGGTCCCACTCTTGAGCGGAGCGTCTGCTGGTGGTGCAATGGACAGCACACCCACGAGAGTGTCGGATGCGAGCGTCGTCCCTTGTGGTAACAGCGAGGCATTCCCAGCAAAGGCGCGACTTTCCAATTTGGTCTTCTTCAGCGTGAGCTTGTTGCCTCTTACCTCGGTGTCGCCCATGAGAACAGAGTCTGCAACGAAAGCTTCATCCCCAATCTCCAGCAGCTCGAATGAGAGTCCTCGCGCAGTGGAGATCTCTGATCGTCTGCCGATCTTGACCCCCAAGATCCTGAGGAAGGGCACGATGTAGAGCGTTGCGAAGACGGGATGCAGAATGTTGAGGGCGAGGTCCATCAGTCGGTCGATGAACCACTTGCGCAAGTACCAAGAGCTGTGGATCCTGTAGGTACCCTCTCGGAGGCGTCCCAGGAAAATGCGTCGGAGAATGATGAATTGGGCGAAGACGAGGCACTGATACGCCAGCGTTACAGGAATCGATAGCGCCGCCACCTGAACCCAGGCTCCTAACGACCTCAGGTCGAGCAGATCGAATAGCAGCAGACCTGGAATTTGCGGCACAAGATACAGCAGAGGCAAGACCAGGCCTGCGACGATCATGTTGCCCAGGAGCATCGCGGCTGCACGAACCGAGGATGGCCGAGTCGATCTTCCGAGAGCAGCGTCTGCCTCTTTCACTTGTCTTTCCAGTCGTGCGGGAGATCCGTGGAAGCGTTGAAAAGATGGTACGTGCATGCCATCAGGAAGCATCGAGAGTGCGCCCAGCTCCCCGGCCTCTCCGATCGTGGCACCTCCTTCGATAACCGAGTTGGATCCGACGATGGCGTCGCTGGCAATCGAGATCTTTTTCAGGACGAGCATTCCTCTTTCCACCACGCTGACTGCTAGAACAACATCGGCACCAATGACCACATCGTCTCCAATTTCCACTAGATCGCAGGCAGCGCCGATAGCAATGGCGCCCAGGTGGCAGTGTTGGCCGACTCTAGCACCGAGAGCTCGAAACACAAAAGGATACATTGCGCTATCAGCCAGGATCTTGGTATTGATCAAACCGACGAGGCGTTCGGCTGTCCACCAACGGAAGTAATACCAGCTGTAGAGTGGGTATTCTCCTTCTCTTGCCCTACCAAGGACAAGCCATTTCCCTACGACAGCCAACAGAGTCAAACATGGTGGAATGGCGACATAAACGCCGTACGCAGCAAGAATACCCCAGTGGACGTATCCTCTCAGGACGAGATAGTCAAACGTCAAATACGGAACCAGGATCTCGATCGATGCGGTGAAGAACAGAAACAGTAGCGGCAGGAGTTGAGCCAGACCACAAAGGACAAATTTCGTGTGCGAGATCGGCATGTGCGGTCCAGTCTTTGCCCCAGTGCCTGCATGGTCGCCTGGATCGCTTCCTGCCATCATACTGCTACTCGCATCCTCGCATGCTTTCTCGAAGCGGGCGGCGATCTTGGCCGGGGTGCGACCCTCGTAAATATCCGGTAAGCCGATCGATGCGAATGGCATGAAGCCCTCGACCTCTGTACATGCCTTACGCAAGCGCGAGACTAACATTGCTGCCAGCAGAGAATGTCCGCCCAGGTCGTCGAAAAAATCAGCTTGGGCATCAATCGGTCCCGCCTGCGGAAACAGAATGCTCGAGTTCGTCAAGAAGATGCCTAGCGGTGTGCTCTGGTCATAGTCTACGATGACTTCTGGTTCGACTTCTGCTGATGCAGCTTCCTTTCGGCGGGCTGACAGCTCGTGCAGCGCTTTTGCATTGATTTTCCCACTCGGTAGTCGTGGAATTTCATTTGCTTGAATGAAGATGACTTCGTCAGAGCGCATGTATGAAGGTAAGCGTTGCGAGCACAGCTGGATGATTGAGCTCGTTTGAGCTTTTGCGCCATTTTGCAGAACGACAAATGCTTCCAATTGAGCCGCTTCGGTATCTGGATTTGCCAATATGACGGCGGCAGCCTGTACGTCGGGATGACTGGAGATTGTCGACTCGATCTCTCCGAGCTCGATTCGGAAGCCACGGTATTTGACTTGTGTATCGATGCGGCCGAGAAAGGCTATGTTCGAATCCGGCTGTAGTCTGACACGATCTCCGGTACGGTATAACCGCTCTCCAGGGAAAAGAGGATGGGAGATGAACTTTTGTGCTGTGAGTTCAGCCCGACCAACGTAGCCAAGACCGACACATGGTCCTCCTATTGCAAGTTCGCCCTCGACGCCAGCTTCGAGCTCGAGAGGCTCCAGGGATGCTGCTGTGCCATCTTCAGATATTGGGAGAAAGCAGGCATGATAGGATGGTAGCGGTTTGCCGATGGTCACAGGTATTCCGGGCTGAAGCTCCGCCCACGTACATGTTACAGTTGTTTCGGTCGGGCCGTAGGTGTTGACGATGCGAAGACCAGGACGTGCGAGCCGGTCAACCAGTGCTGGAGGACAGGCCTCTCCGCCGAGGTTGATGAGGCGGATACAAGATGGCAACAAAGAGTATTCTCCACTGCCTTGCGATACCAGCATTATGCTGATCAGTGTGGGCACAGCATTGACGACTGAGACTCCACGTTTCTCCCAGACGGCCGGCAGCCCTGTCACATCTCGGCATTCGTCCCGCGTGCCGATGGCTAGGTGACCGCCGCCAGCGATGGTAACCCACATTTCTTCCTACTTTCAGGTCAGCATTGGCAAGTTGGGAGCGGCGTTCAGACTCACAATAAACATGTCAAATGCTGGACTGAAGCCGTTCCAAACGACATCATCGAGACTGGTCTGCAGAACTTCTCTTTCAGCGAGCGAGAAGGTCAGGGCAGCAGAATGCGGGATCGCAATGCCCTTGGGCGTACCCGTCGTTCCCGATGTGTATATCAGATATGCGGCGTCGTGCGGTTGTGGGCCACGGAGTTTTGAGGTCGCGTCCTCCGCTGGTGTCGTCAACTCTTCGTAAGATCGAACGGACAGACTGTCTCCCACTCGTTGCTGCACCTCGAGGGCACGCTGAAGATGAAATGAGTCACAGATGAGTGCGCATGCGGATGCATCGAGAGCGCATGTGGCGACGCGCTCGACAGGCACATCAGGATCGAGGGGCAGCCATGTGGCACCGGAGTATGTTGTAGCAAGTATGCTGAGTATCAAATCCAGGCCTTTCTCAAACCAGATGGCGACAATAGGGGCCTGTGACCGGGGTCTGCATGAATGGAGCGAAGTGATCTGGACAGCCAGAGATGCTGCAATGGTGTGTGCTTCGCCATATGTTACCTGCTCCAGCTGTTGGTCGATTTGACAAGAGAAAGCGATTCTGTCGGGTTGCGTCGTTGCGCGATGCTGGAAAAGCCGAGGGAGTGTCGTTACGCCAGCAGGAGGAGAAGGTGCAATATCGAGAGGGGCGTCACCTGTGAGGACTCGCTTGTCCGCGGAGTCAATAAGAAAGGTCATTGCAACACAATGGCCGACAGCAAGGTAAGCGATGGGTGAGAGACGGCCAGGGCACCTGTGGTATTTCTACTCCTTCTCCTGTTCATCTAGCTCTCCAGACGAAACGAGGACGCGCATTCTGAATAGAGTTTCCGGGCTACCATTACATTTAGGCGCACTGCACGTACATACCAGTACCGTGTAGGTTGGGCTAGACACAGCCAGCGCCAAAAGCTTCGTTCATCGTCACTATGGCCCTTGGCGTGAGACCATCAGCTATGGGGAGTCGATGACCACTACATGGCGATTGCTGAATGCCATGCCAGCCCATTTGAGCATCCGTCCTGCATCACCTCACTTGACAATACATCGGATGCATGTTCTTGCGGAGTGCTTCGCACTAGGGGTTTTAAAAGATTGGACGAGGCCGCGTAAGAGTCTCGTACGGAGATACGACAGGTGCTGAGTAGGCTGAGGCTGAGTTGAAAGTCTGACACGCCAGGACGCGTGGTCAGTCTTTTATTGGTCCGTGTGCGTTGTTTTCAGGACGATGCTCCCACTACCACTGACTTGGTTTGGATCTTAGCGGGCCGATCCTGCCGAGGAGTGCAAGATCGAGGGATAAAGCTTGTCAGTGCTTGGCTTTGCTTGGTCCCCGCACAAGTAATCTCCCCAAAGGAAAAGAGCTGGTGCATGAATGACGATGGCAACTCTGGCGCCAGTGTTGCGCAACATGCATCGATGCGTAGCTCTGACGGCCGAGAGAGACGCGTCACTTTCTTTTTTCAACGACGACACAAGCACAGACAGCGCCTTTCCCACGCCAGGACGAGTGCAAAAGATGTCGGTGGCATTTCACTCCGGCTCAAGCGCTGACAAGTTGCTGCAGGGCCACGGACACAGCAATGAGCAATCGTGGAATATGATCGCTGAGTGGAGCCGTGTGGCGAGGCTGTGCTGTGGTCGGCTGGGCAAGCACGACTCTTGCCGAGTCCAGGCGAGCTGCCATTTGGTCATGTTCGTTTGACCTAGCAGCTCAAGTTGACCAGCGCAGTCACGGGCGATTGCTCGTAGCGACGCCGTGCGCGTGCTGGACGTTGGCAGGCCCAGTGGGTAGACTGCAGATGCGTTGCTTGGTGGGAGCAGGCTCTTGTATGGCCTGCAGACAAGTCTTGGCGTCCCACGACTTTCATCGACATCGGCGCCGGTCCAGGCGTCAGGGTCTTCTCCACAGGCGGCGCCACATGCACATGCACATGCACATTTGCAGGCACAGGAAACTCGGACTGTCGTGAGCGGGGCCAGCGTGAGCAGGACGGGGCGGGGGCGGGGAGCTGGGAAGTTGTGGGATGGTGCAGCGATGTGATGATGCCAAGGAGGGGCGGTCGTCAGTGGCCA